GGGCATGGAAACAAAATGTTTAGGAGTATTAAAAAGAGATGTTCTAAGGAAATAAGTAAAATAAATCTTACCACTTTCATTCTTCTCTATCACGTCCACCAGCTCTCCGGCCTTCAAGCTTATTTCAGAATTTTCTTGCTTCTCATAGTTGGACACAACTACGTACTGTTCCAGGATCATGGGTTCCGAATTGCCGTCAGCACCTGGGGAAGGGAAAAAGCAAGCCGTGAGCCAGCTTCCAGTCATCGGTCCACGGGAACGACCTGCGTCCATACGATTCATGATAGGCCGAATTGTCTGCAGATCTTAGCCAATCAGAACGCAATCTTGGCTCGAAGCACAGGTCCAAAGGGCTTGCCATATAGAGGTATCCCTTTCTGGCTCTCAAAAAACCAGCAAGACGTAACATTTGCTGAAAGAAATAGCAGGGGAAAAAATGAAGCGTAAGAAAGCCGGGTGTGGATTAGTCATACGGCCGCATGTTGGAGCTGCTCCTTTTACAGCTTTCAAATCTTTATGACAGGCAAGGTTTTAGGATGAAAAAGAACTGTAGAAAGAGAAAAGTTGCAGCTAGGACCCCATGTAAACTAATAAAGAAAGTAAACAGTTCTGCAGAGCGAGGAAAAACGCTTTCTCTTATGACTCCAGCTGGAAGTCAAGAGGGGACTGTAGACGCCAATCATATTCATTTGCACTGGAGTTCTTAAACAGAAACACATGAGTAAGGTTGAGTAAGGAGGGAGGGAAGGAGGGAACAGGCAGGAGGAGGGGGAAGGATAGAGAAAGGAGGAGGTGGAGAAGGGCTGCATACTGTTTACTTCAACCAGCAGACGTAAGTCACAGCTCCAGATTCTTTCTAAGAGGATTTTCCATATATATATATTGCAGAAATCCTTCACATTTCAGTCCAATTAACCCCTTAAGGTTAAAAACAATAGTTTGGACTGAGATACTCAGTAGGCACAATACACCTTTGTTATTATTTGGAGAAATAAAAGACAAAAAGGGTGTGATACATTCAAACTGCTAGTTTTAAAGAATAAATGACATGAAAATGTAAATAAAAAGCTCCCAGGACTCGGGGGTTTTGGGGATGTACTCAATATGAATAGTTACAGAGTCTTATTTTATTAGGTATATAACAATAAAATGTATCACTTCTATGACACACTTTTGTTTTTAGTGTTAAACCGAATAATAAAGTGTAAAGTTGAACTCTAGGCTGATATAAAAAAAAAAAACAACACAAATGGATGTAGTTTATATACAAAATCTTTGCACTTGAACTTCAAGTAGCTATAGGAAACCAATGAATGCATTTTCTTGACATGTATTTTTAAATGCAACTAGTGCATATACCTTAATTTGCCTATGGTTTAATACAAGCCTTCTATAAACCTCTACACAACAGAACCCAGACTGGGAGAGGAAGGCGCAACACTAGGAGGCAATAAGGCTTTGTCACATGGTACCTGAGCACAGAGAGTACGCTGATAGGTGGAGAGAGCAGAGTTGATGTGATGATGCACCTTAATGGAGAACTATGAGGTGAGTGAAAATCACTCATCATAGTTTGAGCCAACGTGTGACAATGAAACGGTCACACGTCGACTAAATAGATCAGGAAGTGAGCGAACACATAGCGTTGCTCGCTCACTTCTCGATCATGTCCCTGCAGAGAGCTGTGACTGTCAGTCACGGCTCCCTGCAGGGATTCCCCCGATCCTCCAGCGCTGAGTGGCGGAATCAACGGGGGAGGGGGCGGGTACAGCTGGCCCTGCCTCTGGATAGGCAGAGCCAGCTGTCACTCACGCAGCTGGGTGGATCTCGACAGTAAGGTAATGTCTCTTTAAAAGAGAACTATAGGGTAAGTTTAAGTTATAGGGCGCACAGGAAGTGACACTTTGCTCTCTAATGGATGGTCCTATTTAAACCAGCTGGCCCAATTGGGTCAGTGCTGAATGGCCTTTTAGCTTGTGCCTTGTGTTCCTGCTATTTGCATCCGTCCCGCCTGCAGCTGTCTCAGTATACCGCGAGCTGTAGCTCGCAATATACTGAGCTTTGGGTCACGGGAGAACACTAGTTTTGTGGGAAGAGAACTGTGGGGAAAAAAAACTTACCCTATAGTTCTCTTTTAAAGAGACTGTCACAAGACAGAAAAAAGAAAAGACAACAAAAGATTGATGACCACTATGAAGCACATGCTGGATGTGTGGTTAGGAGCGCCTCTTAAAGAATAGTCATCTTGTTTGTAGGTTTGAGTTATTTGAATGGAAATGTCAGATACAGCCAACACTTTATAAGGGGATTGGACTCCCTGTGCTTCAGGGTTTGAGCAACTATATGTAATGTAATCAGAAAGAGCTGTACTTTGTAGCCTGAATCAGTGCTGAATGTCAATGTGACCCCCCGGTTTGCAGTGAGAACCGCCGTACACATTTGCGCATCATACTGCATTCAGAAAAAGTGTCAACTGACCACTAGCCTATACAAAAAAAAACAAAAAAAAACGCATTTCTAGAAAAGGGCAATGTGTTCAACCCCCTACACCCACAAATTCAATATTTGGTGACTGAACCCTCTATAACCTGGCACAAGTTTGGTCACCATTGAGACACGTTTAGCTTTAGGAGGTGCAGGGGTTACAAGTGTGGCTATATCAAGAAGGTTCTCCCTACAACTGTGTGCTTAATTTGATATGTTAACGTTACCTATATATCTACTTTGGGTACTGAAGTTACATTACTTTTATATACTGTAGAAGATTCTTAAAATGTTAAGAAATATAGTGAAGGGGAGTGTTGGAGAAAAAACTTTTAGGCGCTATTAATTCTGAGTGATACTAATGTAAGTAGAACTAGGATTGCAAAAACTTATTTTGTGCTGTCCGAGAATTTGTTACAGTCAGCAGAATAGTTAAAGCACCAGCTAAATAATGAAAAAAAAGTTATTATTTTCTGGTCCAGACCTGCTCAACCAACACATTGAGGACACACACAGTAACTATAATTCCGTGCAAGTGTGAATAGCAGCTTGGCACATGGGGACACCATAAAAAGTAAAAATTCACACAAGTGGTTGTGGCTTTTCTTTAATTTAGTGAAGTTGTTTAATTTTAGATAAAAAAATATTGTTTAATAGAGTTAATTTTTAAATTGTCAAAAAACGTCATTACAGTTCACAGTTTATGGGTGTTCAGCCTCCATGGAAACAATTTTATAAACATAAAGCAAATACTTTCATATAGATTGAATTCCCAGTGGTCACAAGACCAAAACAGCCACAGTCTTGTTATGTGAATTGCATGCCAGCACTGTTCTCCAATTAAAAAGCATAAAAAAGAATGACATTTAAAGAATAAAAGGCATCTCCCACATATTTTTTCTATGGAAACATATGGTTAGTCTTTATTTTAATTTTTTTTCAGACTCTTCCTTTAACTAAAGTTAAAATTGGGTTTTGTAAGATATGGCCTTTGGGTATAGAGAATGTGCTTTCTCACGAAGGACATCTGCAGTAACTGCAATAGTTCCAACATTTATTTGGAACAAGGCGCTTTTTAGGCATGCTTCCCATGTATGATAATTAGTATACCACCAGGCCTCAAAGCCCCCATGTCTATTAACTAATTAAGATGTATTTTTCCCTTTCCTATGTGCCTCCTAACTTCAAATATATAAACTCAATCATAACACATTCTATTACTATGTTAGGCCATAGCCGGAAGTTTGCGCGCTACTGCGCATGCGCGAGTTCCAGCCTTCCGGGTTGCCGGAAAACGTGCGCTAGGGCACATGCGCTCACAGCGGAAAGTGGCGCACAGGAAGTGACACTTTGCTCTCTAATGGATGGTCCTATTTAAACCAGCTGGCCCAATGGGTCAGTGCTGAATGGCCTTTTAGCTTGTGCCTTGTGTTCCTGCTATTTGTTTGCCTGTTGCCTTGACCTGAATTGCTGCTGACCTTGACTGATTGCTGCCTGCCCCTGACCTCTGCTTGTTATCTGGATTCTGCCTCTGCCTGCTCCTTCTGTACCGTGCTGATCATTTGGTCTTGACCCCTGGCTTGTTTGTCATCGCTCCAGTTTCAGCTGCTATCCAAGCTGACATCTCAGCTGTCAACCAGCCCTGCTCATCCTTCTAGGGACCATGGGGCCGGACTTCTACCAGGCACCGTGTCTGAACACCTTGGTACCCGTGCTACTCTCTGTCTACTCGCTCCCTGTTCCCACTCCCAGGGGTGTGAGACAAGAGCCGCAAGGGAGGCCTCCTCAGCTAATCGGTCCTTCACCAGGTACGTGATATACTACTTCCCCTATCTTTGGATCAATAAGTAAAACCATAGGGATCTGTTGCCAAATTCATGCAATTCAGGGTGCATAATTATTTCTTACATAAACAGTGATGTGGCTGTGAAAATATAAGGCTCCCACATAACCCAGTGAAGACTCAAGAAGATGGTAACCATGAATGAACCACACTGCAATACAGCATGCTCTAATTCCATGTTAAAACACTTGCATATTTAATCATGCAAAGATGAAAAAAGATAACTATAGAAAACCATGGTGTTACCAACAGTCAGATTAGTAGTAGTCAAGGATGCATGAAAAGTTGAAGCCACACAGAGGGGTACAGCTCATATTCCATGTGGCTAAAACTTTCCTCACATGCAACCCGAGCATCTGGATTCTCTGCATTTAAAATCCATATGATGGCCAGTATCCTTACTTTTCATGTCATTTAAAGTGACATTGAACCCGCAGATTTTTTAACATAAACCAATACTGTAATGTGTGCCTTACTGTAATCCATGGTAGTTTCCCTTCTCTTTGCTGCTCTTCCTTTTAAATTCTCATGTCTTCTCATGCTTGGGGAGAACTTCCCTTTGCAGCTCAGGGCCTCTTCCTGTAGTGCTGGCTCAGGTTACAAACCTATACACAGACACCATATATCCATTCCTGAGACAAGGCAATCTGCTGCAAAACAGAAGTTCTGCACAGCATGAGAAGAGATACAGATTTAACAGGAAGAGCAGCAAAGAGAAGGGAAACAACCATGGATTACAGTAAGGCACACATTACAGTATTGTTTTATGTTAAAAAATCTGAGGGTTTAATGTCACTTTAACTTAAAAAAGCTAAAAGTTGCAAAATGCATGCTGAAGCCTGCTAAATCATTGCTTATATCTACAGCTAGCACTTC